CTGGCAAAAGGAACATCAGCACAAAAGGCAGAATTGATAGCACTGACACGAGCGTTACAATTGGCTGAAGGTTTAAGAGTGAACATCTACACGGACTCCAAGTATGCGTTTTTAACCACTCATGCCCACGGAGCTTTGTATAAAGAAAGAGGACTATTGAATTCAGAAGGCAAAGAAATCAAATACGCAGCTGAGATCCTACAACTATTGGAAGCAGTGTGGGAGCCGAAAGAAGTCGGTATTATACATTGTCGGGCGCATCTGAGAGGAGATGGTGATGTAACCAAAGGGAATCGGATGGCAGATAGTGCAGCTAAGCGTGCTGCTGAATCAGGAAGACAGGAATATGTGGGGCATATAGCTGCTCTTATACCAACTCCACTGTCTCAATGGACTCCAATTTATACAGCTCAAGAAGAGGAGTGGTTAAGGACTGAACCTGGAAAGTATTTGGAGAACAAATGGTATCAGTTAGAAGATGGAAGAATAGTTATTCCAGCATCACTAGCGGTAGAAATTGTCCAAAACTATCATAACGGGACACATTCTGGGAGAGACAGTACAGAAGAATCTCTCAGAAAACATTTCTACATACCAAGATTGTCCAACTTGACTCAGGCCATTGTACGTAGATGTGTAACGTGTGCTAAAAATAATGCAAGACAAGGACCAGTAAAGCCACCAGGAGTCCAGTTTATGGGGGGACTTCCCATGTCCGATTTACAAATTGACTATACAGTGATGCCTAAATCGGGTGGACATCGCTACCTGCTGGTAGTGGTGTGCACCTATTCAGGCTGGGTAGAAGCATGTCCTACTCGTACAGAGAAAGCAGGAGAAGTCGTGAGATTCCTGCTACGAGAAATAATACCCCGATATGGACTACCCTGCTCTATAGGATCGGACAATGGTCCAGCTTTTGTTCATCAGTGCCTACAACAATTGACTCATATGCTTGGTATAAAGTGGAGGCTTCATACGGCATATAGACCCCAGAGTTCTGGTAAGGTAGAGAGAATGAATAGAACTATTAAGAATCAGTTGGCTAAAATGTGTCAGGAAACCCAACTTAAGTGGAACGTTCTCTTGCCCATAGCTCTATTGCGAATCCGTAGTACACCTACCAGAAGGATGGGCCTCTCTCCTTTTGAAATCATGTACGGGCGACCACCTCCCGTGCTTGGTAACTTAAGGGGGGATTTGAGTCAGTTGGGAGAAGGAATTACCCGGCAGCAGGTTGTAGAGTTGGGTAAGACTATGGAGGAGGTACAGAAATGGGTACAAGATAGATTACCTGTGAATATTTATCCCCCAATTCATAGTTACCACCCAGGCGACCAAGTGTGGATTAAAGAGTGGAATAATGTGCCGTTAGGGCCCAAGTGGAGAGGTCCTTATGTTGTTCTTCTGTCTACCCCTACAGCGATAAAAGTAGCCGAAGTGGCTCCGTGGATACATCACTCCAGGGTTAAACCAGCAGCAGCCGATTCCTGGCAAGTTACAGCAAATCCAGAGAATCCCTGCAAGATCCGGTTAAAACGCACGACTCAGTCGGAGTGACGAGGAACCTTGTAGATTACAAATTTTATTGTTTCAGAGACTTGGTAAGTGAGTGAGAAGGCCATAATAAAGCCTGTCCACTCACCAACGAGTGTATAAGTCAGGGAAAGTCTTGAGGGGACCCCTGTGAAGACGAGCAGAACTCCATTCCCTGCAGTCCTTACATCCTGGAAGCTGAGGTGCCTTCACACGGACGAAGACTGAGGATGACGACGAAAGATGTATTTTTAATAATGTTTATTTATGTGTATTTTTATATTCAGGAAGGTAGAGGTACCAACACTCCTAGCTGTGAGGTATGCATTAAGACTACAAGAACAGGTAACCATATATCCCAGACCCTAATTTGGCATTCGCAATATGAGTGTAAAGGAGATGTATCAAGATGTAGATACTTAAATATAGAATATAGTGTGTGTCATTTAGGAGTAGGAGAACCTAAGTGCTTCAGTCCTGAGTATCAACCCCGTACAATTTGGTTGACTCTCAGAAATGGAGATCCTCAGGGGACCCTAATTAATAAGACGGTATTAAAATCCGTATATTCTTCAGGTGCTCTGCTATTTGATGCGTGTAAAGCAATATCAAGTGGTAGAAAGCCGTGGAATGTATGTGGGGATCTTAGATGGGAGAGGACGTATGGGTCTAACGATAAATATATTTGTCCCAGTAGTAAAAATAAATATGTAAGTCCAAGATGCCCAAATAGAGATTATAACTTCTGCCCATATTGGTCTTGTGTGGGGTGGGCGACTTGGGGACAGACAGCAGACAAGGACATGATTGTGACTAAGTTGCCTACTAATCCATATTGTAAGTCTATGGAATGCAATCCAATCCATATACTTATAAATAACCCTGACAAGTTCTTAGATAAATATGGTAATTTATTTGGGTTTCAAATATATGGGACGGGTTTAGACCCTGGGACAATATTGTTTATAGGGATAGAGACTGATACGGTAACCTCCCAAACTCATCAAGTATACCATTCCTTTTATGAAGAGATGAGCATAGATAATAAGATCCCCCATAATGCTAAAAACTTGTTCATTGATTTAGCCGAGAGTATTGCCGGTAGTCTTAATGTTACCAACTGCTATGTGTGTGGAGGTACTAACATGGGAGACCAATGGCCTTGGGAAGCAAAGGAGGTAATGTCCGGTTCTGAGGCAGTTGACCAATTAATATCTACACAAGCCGACTATCATATGAGTGTTAGAGGTAAATCTGAGTGGAGATTGAAGACCTCCATCATAGGTTATGTTTGCATAGCGAGGAAAGGAATGATGTATAATACTTCTGTAGGAGAATTAACTTGTCTAGGGCAAAAAGCTTATGATGATGATACAAAGAATACAACTTGGTGGTCGGCTTCAAATGTCTCAGAACCATCTAACCCGTTTGCAAGATATGCCAATTTAAAGGACGTATGGTTTGATCTATCCATCACATCTAACTGGAGAGCCCCAGCGAATTTGTACTGGATCTGTGGTAAGAAGGCCTATTCGGAGTTACCACAGGACTGGGAAGGGGCATGTGTGTTGGGTATGTTGAAACCATCCTTCTTCTTGTTGCCTATTGAAACAGGTGAGACTTTAGGTGTTAAAGTGTATGATGTGAATCATAGGAAGAAAAGGGGACCCATAGAGATAGGTGCCTGGGAAGATAATGAATGGCCTCCCCAGCGTATTATAGATTATTATGGGCCAGCCACGTGGGCAGAGGATGGTACCTTTGGTTATAGAACCCCTATTTATATGCTCAACCGCATTATAAGGTTACAGGCGGTGGTTGAGATCATTACTAACGAGACATCACAAGCGCTCAATCTTCTAGCGAAGCATAATACCAGGATGAGGACAGCAGTTTACCAAAATAGATTAGCCTTGGATTATCTTTTGGCAGTAGAGGGAGGTGTATGTGGGAAGTTTAACCTGAGCAATTGCTGTCTTCAAATAGATGACGAAGGGCAAGCAATAGCTGAGCTTACTAGCCATATGGTTAAACTAGCGCATGTGCCTACTCAGGTATGGAAAGGGTACAATCCAAGTAGTTGGTTTGGTAGCTGGTATGAGTGGTTTGGAGGGCTTAAGGCAGTGGTAGGTGGAGTCCTACTGATTTTAATGTTGTGTCTACTCCTGCCGTGTCTTATACCCTTAGTAGTTAGGTCTGTGCAAAGCCTGATAGAAAATATAGCAGAGAGGAAGGCTGCTGCACAGATAATGGCAATTTATAAATATAAGGCTCTAGATCAGGGAGAACCAATGCAGGAAGACGAGTGTTGAAGATTCACATCATAGGATAAGTCTGGTCTGGTTCAAAGGTAACTTGTGGTGTATGCAAACCAAGGTTAAGTGATGCCTCAAGTAATTGTAAAATATCAAGAGGCATCAAAGGGGGGAATGTGGTGGAATCTCGGTAAAAATAAATTTAGTAGGCCGAGATTACCACGTGGCATGTGTACGTGCATATGCTGACGTATCGATCAGTTGGTTGCACGAGGCAAGATACGATCAGTAGTGTACGGAGCATGTGCAAGAATACAGGATGTAGTATTCCCCTCCTCCATTGTGCTGGACAAGCCATGCGGTCAAGCAGGAAGTTAATTCTTATTTGTAATGATTGGTCAAGAGAATGTGCGGGTGGAGCTTAATATGGGAGGAGTTATGTGCCTATATAGGGAGCCTGCACTATTGTTCAGGGCTCAGAACTTGCTGTATTTTTGGTGACATTAGTCCCTCTGAGTCCCGATCGGTGATCCAATAAAGAATCTCTTCCTTCCTGAAGAAACCTGTGTCCATCCCTCTGTGCTTTGCTTCCGTCAGTTTCTCCGGTATCAGTACTTATTCCCTGTGTGTTACATTACAAACACCAACACTTGAATAAAAGTGATATCAGAAATAAGCAAAACAAAAAAACAAAACATATTTAGCCACCCTCCTGTCTCCTTACCTTTTGGGTACAGAAAGGTGGCTTCCCTGGGGTCCAGTGGGAGCTTGTTGGCCCAGGCTGATGGGAGTCTGCCATCAGCTTTCTCAATCCCTCTCCCCCACAATGCTTGCATCCTCCTCCGTGTGGTGTGTGCCTCCTCCCCAGCGGCACTGAGGAGGAAGTGATCTGACCTCACTGCCTCCCAGCATGCCACAGAGAAGAAAAGGGATCACAGGGCAGTGTGTGAGGGGCTAGCTGTGTGTTTGTATTCAGCCAACCCCCATATTACAAGGGCCCAGTCCAGAGCAGTATTAAAGGGCTGTGGCCCCTGATTACCTCTGGGGCAGCTGCTTTAGGGCCCCAAGGAGTAACTGCCCCTTTTGCCCCTCCTTAAAGACGGCCCTGAGCCCACCCACAATAACTTCTTACTACACCTGGGTAGAGGAGAACTTTGTCCATGTCCAGGTGCCTCACCATGGCTGTTTGGGTGACTGGTAAGCTGCCTTGGTAGCGTGGCTGAGTGGTCTAAGGCACTGGATTGAAGCTCCAGTCTCTTCGGGGGTGTGGGTTCGTATCACACCGCTGCCACCAATTGTAACGGCACCCTCAGCATAAAAGGGTTAAACTGCCGTTTAGAAGATCTTCCCCTTCCAGAGATACAGGCACACCTACAGCAGAACACCAAACTCCTGAACCGCATATAAGGGAATGTTCCAAACTCCTGAACTGCATACAAAATAGCACTCCAAACTCCCGAACTGGAACCTCACAAATAGCTGCTAGCAGACGAACAGGAAAAGCACCCAAGCAGCTTACACTCCTGGCAATCAGTCTCTATCAGCATACAGTAAATCCCCCCAAGAACGAGACAGAGCTATTCGTGAGGTTCCAGTTCGGGAGTTTGGAGTGCTATTTTGTATGCAGTTCGGGAGTTTGGAGCTTCCCTTACATGCGGTTCGGGAGTTTGGTGTTCTGCAGTAGATCTTCTAAACGGCGGTTTAACCCTTTTATGCTGAGGGTGCCGTTACAGTAGCCTTTAGTGCTATTGTTTTGTATAAGAGCCATCTGGTGAACCAACTGGGGTACATTGTGAGGAAAGTGGATAGCCCCCACCGACAAGGGGGGGAACCGGGATTTACAGCAGAGACCAAAATTCTAGTCAGATTAAGGGAAGAGAGAGAATGGCCTCTTCTCCACCATCAACTCCAACAGGATGGCTGTAGTTAGGTTGCAAATCCACCCAAGCCGGGTCACTCTCCAATCAGGTATGAGAAACCACCAAGATCTGGGATGCTGAGGCTGCAAGCTGTATTTGTGCTCTGGTAAGGTAAAGGCTAGAATTTGGGCATAAAAAGTCCAGTATTTTTGTCAAAATTTGGGTTTCTCCACAGAGCTTAGCCATCTTGCAATTGTTCACCCTGGCAGCCATGCCCCACCCCATCCTGGCATAATATAGGAGAAAACACCAATCTTTACTAAATAGCAATTTGTGGTCAAGTTGACAACTGACTTGAAACTCTCGACCATAGTAGCCAAGTTAAGAAGACATTTCTTCTAAATTGTTGTAATATAAATTTTGCAAGGTGATTGCCAATTTACTGTTTAGAAATCTCTACTGGAAAATTCCCTTGTTTTGCTCAGAATGGAATAAAAAGGGAACAAACGTATAGAGGTGAAACTTGACAGGAAGGTGATACATAAAAGTAGCAGAGAGGGGAAGGTAAGGTGAGTTGAGATGCAACTATTTGTGGTTGAGATGACAACAAACTTGGAAAGTTTAGATATAGGTAATAACCTAACTGGGTAATGTGTTTTCTAAAGTGTACTTTGGGCTCAATGTGAAAGTTTTAAAACATTCTTTACTTTTTCTGATAGAGATCAAAATAACATGACTTTTTTTTTCCTGACATCCTTTATTTTTGGGGTGGTAACATCGATTTAGGACATGTAATGATACGTTCAAACAAATTTCTAATTTTCAGTAAGACAGAGATCCAAACATAGGATATGAGAGCAATGTCAACAAAACAATATGAATCCTCAATGTAACACAGGAACTGAACTCAATTTTCCAACCTTAGAACCAGGGTGCAACCAGATCCGGGTTCAGCACCAAATCCCAAATGTAATATTTCAAAAGAAAGGATAAGGGCACTCCAAAGGTTCAATTTCAGGCAATTTATTGTCACCAGAATGTGCAAAGCAACGTTTCAACCAGTGTGGTCTTTATCAAGCTTTATAAAGACCACACTGGTTGAAATGTTGCTTTGCACATTCTGGTGACAATAAATTGCCTGAAATTGAAACTTTGGAGTGCCCTTATCCTTTCTTTTGAAGTATTACATTTGGGAAACAACGTTTCAACCAGTGTGATCTTTATCAAGCTTGATAAAGACCACACTGGTTGAAACGTTGCTTTGCACATTCTGGTGACAATAAATTGTCTGAAATTGAAACTTTGGAGTGCCCCTTCTCCAGGGGCTTATAACAGTACAAAATGTTTTCCTTCTTTTTGCTGTGCACTTTTGCACACACACAGGGGCATGCACTCCATCAAGCATTCGCTATACAGCCTGACCATTAAGTCATCTCACTGATGGAGGGAGGAGGCCTCCCTTAACATGACATTTTTCATCCTTTCTTCATACCTAAAATTAACTCAGCAACACATTCTCCAATTTTCCTTTAATATATAACACAATTATTGTTTTCATTAGACTTGTCACAGTGTCTAAAGGGTTCTCCTAACGCTTTGCAGAAGGCAATTCTGTTATAATAATAATTATTATTATTATTATTGCCATTTATATAGTACCAACAGATTCCGTGGCGCTTTACAATATTATAAGAGGGGGGATTTAGCTAGAAATAGGACAATTACAAGACAACTTACAGGAACGATAAGTTGAACAGGTCCCTGCTCAAACGAGCTTACAGTCTATATAATAAAATATTTATAGTGACGGCTGACTGAGGACTGATGAATATAATGGGGGTTATGTTTAAAACATGCTGTGTCCTGAAACATAGTCTAAAGAACTAAAGTGGTCCAGTCACCATGGAAACCAGTAAAACCAGCAGTCACATTGCATTGGTGGCTCTGACCGATTCCAACTTTGCACCACTTTTCAGAACATATACTGATTATATGTAACCCCCCAATGTGTCTGTTTTAAAACCATTGGGATTCTAAAAAAAAAAAAAAGAAGCCCTGTGGACTTAATTGCTGGTTGAATCAAGAAGTTAAGAACCATGGGTTTATAAAAATACCTAATATTGCCCAGAATTTTATAAAACAAGACTAAAGGCATGGTGGTGATCTATAAATTAAGCAAGGAGATTTCTTATAGTCAACGGAAAATCTCTTGATTAACTGGTATTCTTCGACTTGCTTCATACTGCAAATGTATTTTCAATAATTCCAGGAGTATTTTAATAATTCAAAGAATAATACGTCTCTCTTTCCCTGCTGCCCAGCACTTTCCTTATTAAGCAAACCACACAGCATTTACCAATTCAGCAGCAAATGCCAATGCATACTTCCTCAATCGCTCGCTTTTTTTTGTTCCTTTTAAAGACTACTTTAACCATTTATGACCAAGGCTATGCAAATCCCTAGTAAACTGTGACAGTTCTGATATGTTAACAGTCCAAAAAGAATGAAATGTTTCCTGATCAGAGGCAAACCTATGATATCTGGCAGGCAAGGCAGATATATATGTTGATTTTCTTACAAATTATAGGTGCATCCAGCCTCCCTGTCTTACCATTGCTTTGAGAGCTGGAGCAAACTTCACAGCTTCCAAAGCATCCATTTAGCTTGGAACTGATGCCAGGGCTGGAGAGACATCACGTACTATGGCCAGCACAGTTCTAACAATAGAGTTCTTGTTAATTTGCTTCAGTATTGAGGATATCACAGGTGTCCCCTGTGAGGTGAGTACTTTGATTCCACTAAGGTTTGTTTCCATCACTAAGCATTTAGGGCACATATAGTAAATCCTGTCCAGGAAGGCAATCCATTTAGAGCACTACTTATATCCTGTCCAGGAAGGGCAATTTCCATGTAAGCGTGTAGTGGAGGCTGCCATTTTGCACTGTTTCCTTAATGTGTTGTTGACATAACATCTTCATTAGCTTGTGGTACCGTGATAATTCCCACAGTCCAAGTAGAGGGGATATTTTTTTTTTTATACTTAGAAAGATAACAACCTATGTGTTATATATGATGACCCCTTAAAGCTTTTTTAGGTTGGAACAACTGCTTAAATACAGGGTGGGAAATATAATTTCAATGTGAAAAAAATTAAAAATGTAACATGCTATATTTGACCCTGTAACTTCCTTTGAATACAAATATGTGTTGTTATTGCAGTAAAAGTTAACAATATTATGACATGCACAGTTATAATGTCAGGCAGAACTTAAAAAAATAAAAACATTCCTTATTTTCTCCCATTTAAAAAAATATTTTATTCATATTAAATTATGCTTCATAGTTAAATATTTGATTTTAAATAAAAGCCCTGTGTAACGGATCACCTGGCACCCCGACTGGGTACCTCCGTTGAAAGATGCTCCTAGCGCTTCCAGAGGACTCCAAGCACTCCACCAGACACCATAAGCACCGCAGGCTGCAGCTATCTCCCTTCAGAACGAAGCAGGAACAAGCTCTTACAAGAGCTCAGTGATTATAGCAAGGGAATATGCCTAGCATAGCAATCCCTTGTAGCAGATTCCCCCAATAAGAGACAGGACTCAAGTTGAGGGTAAAAATAGAACTCTCTGGCTGCTAGCTTGCAGCCCTTTTTATTAGGTGCTCCCATGAAGGGGAGGGACACACACAGTAACGTACATTAACCAATCACACAATAGTTACATCCCACACATAGCCCTCCCCTCTACCTGTAAACTAATTATCTGTACACACAGGAAAATACAATTATCATAGGTAGGGAAAATACAGTTTTTACACAACATTCATAACTCCCAAAATATACATCACATTCGCATAATAATACATATTCACAATCAATCCATTCAGGGGAACAACATATTAAAAAATGGCATGAATCAGACCAGGGGTTCAAAAGTTAGTAAAAGTATCTTTTGTTCCCCCTGGCTCAAACAGTAAAAGTAAAACATCCCCACAATGCATCCTGGCTTCCTCCCTTCTGCCCTGGAGATAATTGGAGAAGGAATCTAATTATCTCCAAAGACAGAGCCAAACTCCATTACCCACATGGCAGACAAAAAGACAGTAAAAGACATAAAATTACATACTGACACATTTAGTACATAAAACACACATTTCTACATATCCCCAGATAGCTTGGATCTGACTGCACATTATTAGATGAATGGCACTCAGATCACACGAATAAGCCTTTCTGCAGGGAAAATAAACAGTTTAACCTGCAGGGCCATAGTCCAAAGGCAAGAGGCGGGCAAGCAGCCCCCTCCAAGGACACGTGGCGAGGTCGGTTTCGCCACACCCTGTTTCCCCTGAATAAAATTATATATAATAAGGGTGGGTGCACTTATTATGAAAGAGGTGAATTACGGTTGAACAGACATAAAGTCAAATT